GCTGCAGGCCTGGGCCGCGCGGGCCGCCGCCTTCTGCTCCTCCACCACCTCCCCTCCCAGGCCTGTGCGCCTGTTTGTCCCCAGCCTGGTTTTGGCTTTTCTCTCTGGAGGCAACTCCCTTTGGTACATTTTGTGCCGATGTTTGGCCAAGACCCATGCTTCTCACACCACAGCCCACCCCCGTGTCTCTTCAGTCGTAGGAAAGGAGACCAAAAGGGGGTTCGGGATTTGCAGGCACAGGGCCCCTCGTTTGGCCCAGATGACCGGTCGTTCCACGTTTGCACCCTCATTTTTGTCAAAGGGACCTCCCCTGCTCTGCCATAGAATTCCCGTTATTGTCTACAGAAGAAGGGCCCTGAGGAGAAACGTGGAGTTGGAGACACAATTTTCTGAGCTTTGCAAGGTTCACTTACTGAGACGGAAAGAATGATCTCACTCTGAGGTTTTAGCCTGCTCCAGCGATGGAAGGAGTTCCTCCCAACTTATCTCAAGTTTTAACGCTTTTAAGGAGAAATCTGCTGGAGAGGAAAAACGTCAAGGTGAACCCGCTTCTGCAAGCACGGGAGACCTTTGGCCAAGAGTCTTTGTTTGCGAAGATTCGTTAGTTTAAAAAAAAAAAAATCTGTCATCTTAAATATTTGGCTTTATTGTTTTCAGGTTTGGACAGAATTTGTCTTTTTTAGTGCCATGAAACATAAAATGGAACGCTAGAAGGAGAGTTTTAAAGCACAAAAACTGCCTCTTAGCATCTGTAAGGTGTCCTGCTTTGGGGGACTACTGTGCCAACTCCAGCTGTCTCCACGCAGAAACTTAACCAGGGAAGGCACTGGTTTGCTTATACCATTGTTAGGGCCGTGTGCCTCTGATGTTTTAACATCATTACAAATACCGTTGTAATTGTGTCTTGCTTTTCTTTCTTTGATAACCCCTGATTTGTATCTCTTAGCAAACCCTTTTGAAGTGGTCTGGGTTGCGGGAATCATTTTGCAGGCAAGGAAACAGCCTCAGGGAGAGGACTTGAATGAGGTCACTAACTAGGAGGAGCCAAGGCCAATTATATTAATAGAACCGTAGGTCTTCTGACTCCTTCTCCAGTGCTCAACGCTAGTATATACCATTTTTGTGGGAACGAAGTAGATGAGAATAGGCAAGGAGGCTCACCTAAAGATTTTAAGAAATACTACTCAATTGCCCTTTCGTTGATATTTTTATGTTTTACTTTTGAAATGCGGGTGTTATGTTGCCCAGGCTGGTCTCAGACTCCTGGGCTCAAGCTGACCTCTCAGCCTCCGTAGCTGGGATTACAGGTGTGCATCATCTAGCCTGGCTTTTATATTTTTATTTTCGAATGAATTTATTGACTTTGCAACCTGTTATTTTTTTCGAAAATATTGAAAAGTTAAATAGCCCATTTGAACACCATACCTACCACCTAGTTTTAACGCTACCTTTTTGCCATATTTGCGTTTTCCACTTCCCTCACATTCTGTTTTCCGAACATTTCAAAGTGCGTTACGGATATGACAGTTCAGCCCTAAATGCTGCATGTGTGTCAGTATGTAAGAGATCAAGGCCATTTTTCTGTGTAACAGTACCACAATCACACTTAAGAAAGTGAAGAATATTCCTTACACTCTAACATGTGGTGTAGTATATATTCACATTTCCCCCCATTTCTTCGAAATTCCTTTTCAATCGTTTTGTTGTTGTTGTTGTTGTTGAGACAGGTACTTGCTCTGTGTCCCAGGATGGAGTGCTGTGGAGCAGTCTTGGCTCGCTGCATCCTTGACCTTCCTGGGCTCAAGCCATCCTTCCACCTCAGCCTCCTGAGTGGCTGGGAACCCAGGAGCACACCACCACACCCAGCTAATTTTTGTATTTTTTGTAGAGATGGGGTTTTGCAGTGTTGCCTAGGCTGGTCTCAAACTCCTGGGTTCAAGTGATCCACCTGCCCCGGCCTCCCAAAGTGCTGGGATTGCAGATGTGAGCCACAGCGCTGGGTGACATTGATCTTTTGGAGAGACCAGGTCTGTAGTCTTATAGAATAACCCATATTCCATGTTTTAGTGATAGTTCCTCCTCATAGTGTTTAAATTTGTTCCCTCTATCCTGTTTTCTGTAAACTTGGAATTGGGTCTAAAGGCTTGAATATATTCAGGTTTAATATTTTTTTCTGATAGGAATACTTTGTAAGTCATGCAGTATGCTTCATTGCATACAACATCCAAAGGCACATAAAGTAGGCTTGTCTTACTAATAATCCTAAATTTGACAGGCTATCTTTCCATTGTAAGCATTTCCTTCTGCAATTAGCAAGTAATTTGTGGTGTGATATTTTGGCATTAGGGTGAGAATTTATCTGCAGTAATCTGATAAACACAGTTGGGAGCAGTCCTTAGGTATGGGTTTGGAAGTTAGGAAGAAGGAGGAGTGGAGACAATTCTGGAGGAAATGCTAACCTATCTACTTTAGGGAACTTGGAATGCTACTGTGTGTCGGCATCAGAGCCTAGGGAGACTAGGAGAGAGGAGGCAGAAAGTAGATGTCAGAAAGACTTTGCCTTCTTTGAAAGTTTCCTTAGGACCATTTTAGCAGTAGTAAGCTATGGTAAATAGAAAAGTTCTGAAGTAGTTTGATGTTGAAGGATTGCAAGTGCTTCAACTGGAACATCTGTCCAGTTAGGCTACTAATCCAGTCTTTTTTCATTCCAGTGTTTTATTAATTAGCATTGGCTCACTGAAATAGCAATTTTCACAAATGAAAAGTCAACTGTAGTTTTACGTGACAGGAAATTGGAAATTTCTATTGACAACATATTTTGTTATTCCAAAAGCAAGTTTTGGAAGATGAGGAATGTTTTTGATATATTCACTAATTAAATATATAAATCCTGAATAGTTTTTTTCTTGCTTTAGAGAAGAATTAAAAAACTGTTTGAATTTTCAGTCAGATTTCTTTAAATAGTGATTTAAATAATGACTTGATTTACTTAGTGCCTTGTATCAAAAATTGTATGTTTAGAATTTTAATTCATTTCTCCAAAGCAATTTTAAGGATTCTCTTAACCCTCAGTATAGGAGGAAAAGTATACAATTATCATTATCATCTGGGTCAGAAGGGACTGTTACTTTTTTGCATTTTAAGTTATGTATAATTTATAGGAGTAAAAATATATCATAATGTAAAACAACTTACTGGAGCTTTTAATAAGAATTTAAATATAGCAATTCTCTTTGTATATACTTAGAAAAATAAAAAACAAAATATCTATTTCATGCATTTAATTACATGACACCCCTACAACAAATATACATCACATTTGAACGCTTTATGTAAACATTCTTATTATTTAATAACACCCATTTTTTTCCTTTTTGAGTTTTTGTATCTATACAAAGAACATCTTCCTTTCTTCCCATTTTCAGATATGTGCAAAAATCATTCTGGTTAGAGGATAAGACAACATTCCCTTCCTAGTTTCTGCAAGTTATTTTCCTAGTTGCATGAGGAATTTCTTCGTGGTAACTTACAGTTTTGTAACTGAAGCTTTTCCCATACAATGAAAGTATACTCTGAACTAATACCAGTCATAAGCCATCTTCAAGTCATTCTCTTCCAAGTATTGTTTCTGACCCACTTTTTGAATGTATCACTCCTGTAGTCTTTTTGTAATACAGATTACTTCAGGTTAATTTATGTAAGGATTTAAAATTCATTGATGGTTGAGATGAATTGAGCTGAGAATTCTGGGTAGGTATAGTTTTCCTTAGGACAATAAGAATCATGAAGTATATTCGAAATCCAGATTTTATGTGATTGACTTCTTTTGCCTTTCCATTTGTGAAAATTCATAGAAGTTCAATGCTGTTCTTCATAAGAGTGCCAACAAGGAGAGTTTGATGCTGTATGATATTCAGCCAAGTCTAAATTTGTAAAAAATTTGTCACAAGTTATATGTCTGACAGAGTTTTGAAATTTTTCTGGCATTTCTTATATATCAATCTTGATTCTGCTCTCATACCTTTTCCAAATCTCTGTGTAGATCTACATTGTCCAAGCTTATCATATTTCATTGTCACCTGTTGCTCAGATTTTCATTTCCTGTTTTTCACCTTTGAAGGTATTTCTACCTGAAATGGGCAACATCATCTGAATGGAATTAATTATAGATGCTCCTTGAATTACGATAGGTTACATCCTTGATAAACCCATCATTAGTTGAAAGTATCATGAGTTGAAAATGCATTTAATGCACCTAACATACTGAACCTCATATCTTGGTTTAGCCTACCTCAAATATGCACAGAACATTCACAGTAGTCTACAGTTGGGCAACATCATCTAACTTAAAACTTATGATAATAAAGTGTTGAATATCTCGTGTAATTTATTGAGTACTGTACTGAAAGTGAAAAACAGAATGGTTGTATGAGTACTTGAAGTAATGAATGCACTTTGACACCATGATAGAGTTGAAAAATTGTTTTAAGTTGAACCATCTTAAGTTGGAGACTGTCTGTACTTAACACCTTTCATACATAACCCTGGAACTATTTGTCTTATGAATACTGATTCTAAATTTCAAATGCTTCCCTAATAGGTTCTTGCTTGTCATTCCTTCTGGGTTGCCTTTTTGCATGTACATCATCAAAATGTGATACTGGAAGAGTTTTTGAAACCTTTGATAGTTCACAATTTTGTTGAAGACAGTACATCTGTCTTCTTTGCTCCACAATTGCAAGATATTTTCAATTTCAGATTTATAAATAATTAGAATGATCAA